GTGCGCGCCCGGAGGAGGCACCACCAGGGCGCACGGCGGGGCCTCGGGGGCCACCGCTGGGGTCCAGCGCCCTCCCCACTGGGGGCCGCCCAGCTCCTTCCCTGCTGTCCAGCCCGGGTCCTGCAGCTGCCAGCACCGCGCGCCGGCTCTGCCCCGGGGGCATCTCTCCAAAGCGCAGTCGGGGGGCCACGAGAACCTGAGCGTCGGGGGAGAGTGGAGACACCCCGCGGGCGGGCGGACCTGCAGTCCCAGGGCAAACGCAATGGGTGCCCGTCGGTACTAGGCCTCGGTTTCCTGGGGCTTCTGCTTTGGAAACAGCGAGACCCTAAAGGTCAGGGAGAGTCCTGGGTGGGACATGAGTCCCCCAGGCGGGAATTCGGGGTCAGGAAGGACACGGCAGGGGCCTTGGACGCACTCAGCTCGGTCACCTGCCTGTGACCCAGTGTGGACGGCGGTGTCCAGCGGTGACCCTCGGGAGTGCCTCTGCCCCCCGCCGCAGGGGGAGATGATGGAGAGGCGTCCTGGCCCCTCTCCCGGGCCCTGCGCGGGGGAGGCTGGTGGGAATCCCCTCCGGCGTCCACTGTCGCGGGGCCACAGGTTTCAAGGGCGTTTGTAAGCCTTGTCTAAACTGGGAGGGACCCGGGGGTAGGGGGGTGGGGGTGGGCACCCAAGTCCCAATCTTCCCGGCTGCGCGCTGCTGGAGACGCGCAGGGCAATGCTGCCCTCTGCTGGTGTTTGGGGAACTCGTACTCTGGTGGGGGCCCCACTTTCCTTCCAAGTCCGGGTTCAGCTTATTCTGGTTTGTGTCCCCTGGCAAGTGGTGCTGGGAAAAGCAAAAGCTGGGCCACCAGGAGACCTGAATTTTCTCTAACCTCTACCTGTACCAAAGATAAGACATTGGCCTCAGTTTCCCCAACTGCAGAGAGAAGAGAGTGGTTGCTGCTTTCTCTCCCAGGCAACCAGAGAGGGGAAAGAGCCCCTAAGATAATGTGAGCCTTCCCTTTGTAAACCGCTCACAGTAGTAATAATAACTAATATTTTTGGGTGCTTCCCCTGCTACCAGGCAGTATTCTAGGGCTCTCCAGAACCTTCTCTCCCTTAAGCTTCACAAAAAATATTTTCTGGTTGGTATTGTTGTGACTCCCATTTTACAGTTGAGGAAAACTGAGGCTCAGTGACTTGTCCAAGGACAGGCTGTTAGTAAGTGGCTGGAGCCAGGCCTGAATCCAGGTGGCCAAGCAACCCAGTAATTTCTGAACCCCAGTTTTCTTGTCTGTACAATGGGAATAATAAACATTCACACCGGGAGGGTCACAGGCAGTGCTGTTTCTGAAAGTGCAGAAAGCAGTCCTTGAATATGACAGATCGTTGTGGGAGTTGGCTACAAAATGCTCAACAGAGTCCTGCCTCTGCCGCCTCCTGGCTGTGTGGCCTCAGCACAGCTGCTTGATGTCTCTGTGCCTCTGTTCGCCTGTGGATTAAATGGAGAAATAAAATTCTCCTTGCTGATCCGGGTGCCTGGCCTGCCGAAGATGCTCTTCAGTGACCTGTTGAGTGAATGAGTGGGTGTCGAAACACCAGGGGCTCCTTTAATTGGCTTTTTTTTTCTCTTCTGTCCTATTTGCCTGGGCCACAGCCTAGCCCAGGACACGCTGGGGCTGCCGCCATGGTCCTGCTGCTCCTGGTCCTGCTGCTCCCACTGCCCTGCGTCCGGGGCCTGCCCTTCTACAATGGCTTCTACTACTCCAACAGTCCCCACGGCCGGAACCCGGGCCACCGTGAAGGTAGGTGACCTCCTGGGCTCGGCTCTTTGCTCCCAAGGGTTGAGCAAGACCTTCCCTGGCTCCTGCTGTGGGCAGGGAGACAGCAGCCTTTTCCCCATCTGGGCCCCTGCAGGGGACCAGCCTCATTTCTTTTTTTTATTATTTATTGTTATTTTTAATGCTCACCCGAGGATATATTTTTTCCCCATTACTTTTCAGAGAGAATAGAGGGAGAGAGAGAGCGAGAGAGAGGAACACTGATGTGAGAGAGACACATCGATTGGTTGTCTCCGCCGGGGATCGGGCCTGCAACTGAGGTATGTGCCCTTGGCTGGAATCGAACCTGGGACCCTTCACTCTGCGGGCCGATGCTCTAACCACCGAGCCAAACTGACCAGGGGGAGCAGAAAAGGTGGTCCAGTGACTGTGCTTGTAGCCCCTCAGTCATGGAGCTGGATGCACTTAGGGACAATCACTTCTGCTCTTTATATGTCCCCAGAGTCCTGCCAATTTGTCAATTGACAAGAGCCAGCTTAAAAAGGTGACCTCCCGGGTCTCCTCAGTGCGGAGGAGCTTTGGGGTTAGACAGAGGCAAGGTTGAATCTTAATTTTGCCACTTGTAGCGACATGGTTTTGGGCAGGTGACTTTTTAGTTGGTGCACCTAGGGGAAAATCCATTCTTTGCCTTTTCCGCAGCCAGCATTCCTTGGCTTATAGCTGCCTCCCTCCAGTTTCTGTCTCTGTGGTCACACCCCCCTCTGCCTCCCTTTACAAAGATACTTGCAATTGTAGTTGGACCCATCTGGAAAATCCAATCTAAACACACACCCTTTTCTCAAGATCCTTAATTTAATCACACGTGCAAAGTTCACTTTGCTGTATAAGGCAACATTCGGGGATTAGGACCTGGATATTTTGGGGAGCTGTTATTTAGCTGGAATTTGTCTTGTTGACCAAGCAACACTTTAATGAGATGCAAGGGAATTTCTGAATCATCATGAACTTAGTGGCTTAAGACGACAGGCATCTGCTTTGCTCGTGATTCCATGGGTCGGCAGTTTGGGCTGGATCACTTAAAGTCACAGTGGATACGGGGAGGGGTGCAGCATTGTGGCCTTATTTTCCATGTGTCCCACCCGAGCGTGGTGGGAACTGGGATGGAGAGGGTGGGGTGGCCCTTGCCGGGGTACTGATGAGCTGCATCGAGTCCCCATCTGCACCCATCTCCCCCAGGCCTCTTCAACGGAGTCAAGCTGGTGGTGGAGACGCCCGAGGACACCCTGTTTTCCCACCGAGGGGCCAATGTGACCCTGCCCTGCAGGTACCACTACGAGCCAGCCCTGGTCTCCCAGAGGCCCGTGCGTATCAAGTGGTGGAAGCTGTCAGAGAACGGGGCCCCGGAGCGGGACGTGCTGGTGGCCGTAGGGCTGAGGCACCGCTCCTTCGGGGACTACCGAGGCCGCGTGCACCTGCGGCGGGCTGGGGAGCGCGATGTGTCGCTGGAGATCCGGGACCTGCGGCTGGAGGACTACGGGCGCTACCGCTGTGAGGTCATCGACGGGCTGGAGGACGAGAGTGGCCTGGTGGAGCTGGAGCTGCGGGGTGAGACCCCCGAGGGGGGCTGCGTGACGCTGGGACCTGGGGACTGAGGGGAGGGGCCTGGAGAGAGCAGCCAGACCTTTGTGCTTTAGGCAAAAAACATTTTATCCTCAAAACAACCCCATGAGGAAGCTACTATTATCATCACTCCCGTTTTACAGATGAGAAAACCGAGCACAGAGAGGTCAGGTAACTTACCTGAGGTTACCTAGCTCATCAGCGGCACAGCAGGGGTTTAACCCCAGGAATTCAGGTTCCAGAATCCACGATCCTGGATGCTCATTCCCAGAGAGGCAAGCCAGAGCTGGTCACACAGCTCATTAGAGTCAGAGCAGGGTTGGCAGGCAACACGAGTGAATGAGAGAGCCCGGTGTGAGAGAATAGGGAGTGGTGGGGACTGGGGCACACTGCTGAGCCCTCCTTTTGGATGGGACCGCAGCCTTATTTCTCGCAGCTCTGGAGGCTGGAAGTCTGAGATCAGGATGCCAGCACGGTTGGGTGAGAGCCAGGTTGCAGACTCCCGGCTGTGTCCTCAGGTGGCAGAAGGGACTGGGGAGCTCTCTGGGGTCTTTGACAAGAACACAAATCCCATCATGAGGGCTCCACCTTCATGACCTAAGCACCTCTCGAAGGTCTCAGTTCCTAACCCTTGGGGGTTAGGCTTTAAGGGAAACACATTAAGACCAGAGTATTGGGGTTCTTGCAACAGCCTGTGAATGAGGCATTATTTGAATCCTATGTTGGGGACATTAGTTGGCTGATTCATTTATTACCTTAACACAGTGATTTTCAACTGGTGTTCAAGAATTTTAAAAACATGCAACACCTGACTACTTAGTGGGGGGCACTGATCTCTTTTCCCTTAGATTCTCAAAGAAAAAAATGATAGCAGCCAACCCAACAGTAGCCATCCCGTGTGAACGCCCTGCCTTGAGCCATAACTATATAGGTCACAGAACAGCTGCATCTTACCGGTCACGTCGCATAATAAGGTTGCATTTGATTGGTTAATTCTCAGTATCAATAATCCTTATATACAAGTATAGGCACCTGATTTTTTAAAAAGGGGCAGGCAATTACTATTATTATTATTATTTTTGTAAATCAATCAAAATTATACGTATTTTTTTTGGGTCAAATCAGCAAAAATATATATTTTTTAGCGTGCCACTGCGTTTTAGTAATTAGTTTATGTGCCGTGAGATGCAGGAGGTTGTCAATTGCCGCCTCAACAAACTAGTGGGTGTTTGCTGAGTGCTGCTGTTTGCCAGCCTGGCTCTGGAAGGGAGGTGTCATGTAGTCTCTGCCTTGGACGGTGGACAGGAGGTGACAGAGGAACTGAGTGTGTGTGTGTGTGTGTGTGTGTGTGTGTGTGCGTACCAGCCAGCTGGGCCCCTGCCCGCCCCTCCAAGCCCTCTTTCCTCCCTCCCCAGGTGTGGTATTTCCCTACCAGCCCCCCAAGGGGCGCTACCAACTCAACTTCCAGGAGGCCCAGCAGGCCTGCGAGGCCCAGGACGCCGTGGTGGCCTCCTTCGAGCAGCTGTTCCGGGCCTGGGAGGAGGGCCTGGACTGGTGCAACGCGGGCTGGCTACAGGACGCCTCGGTGCAGTACCCCATCACGCTGGCCCGCGGGCCCTGCGGTGGCCTGGGCCTGGCGCCCGGTGTGCGCAGCTATGGCCCACGTCACCGCCACCTGCACCGCTACGACGTGTTCTGTTTCGCGGCTGCCCTCAAGGGTGAGTGGGGTGGCCAGGGGCCACGGAGGGTGCAGTTAGGGAAAGGTTGGGGGACCCCAGCCTCATGGTGGGTGGGGTGGAGCTCTCAGAGGACTGGGGAGGTGCCCCCCAAAGTGTCTAAGCAGATGCCCACAGGGTGGTGGCTCCCTGGGCTCAGACAGTTGACTGATCTCTGGGGAGTGGTTGGTGACATCTGGACAGGCTGACATGACTGCAGGCCTGGCTGTCTTCTCCAGCTGTGCCCTCCCACTGCCCAGACCTCACACCCCATTTTCCCACAGGGCAGGTGTACTACCTGGAGCACCCCGAGAAACTGACACTCTCAGAGGCGACGGAGGCCTGCAGGGAAGACGGCGCCCGGATCGCCAAGGTGGGCCAGCTGTTTGCCGCCTGGAAGTTCCGGGGCCTGGACCGCTGCGACGCTGGCTGGCTGGCGGATGGCAGTGCCCGCTACCCCGTGGCTCACCCCCGTGCCAACTGCGGGCCCCTGGAGCCTGGCATCCGAAGCTTGGGCTTCCCAGATCCCCAGAGCCGAAAGTACGGTGTCTATTGCTACCGTCCTCGCTAGAGCCGGCCACCGGCTCCCGTGCCTGCCTGCGCCTCCCCTCTCGGGCTGTATTTATGGAGTGGTGCATTTTCCCTATTGGTTGGGGCAATTTTCCTTTGTTTTTATACTTCTCAGCTTAATTTTTGTTTAATTATTATTTTTGTAAATCTGACAGATCCCAAATCCTCTCTTTGCTCAGGCGGACACCCCAAGGCTCCCTCAACCAGGAATCCTATACTCCTATGGGACACTTGAGTTTCGTGGGCTCACGAGGACTCCGATGCCCAGAGGGGGCGGTGGCGCAGGGATTGGGCGTGGTGGCTGCAGCTCTCCCTCCACCCCAGCCTGGGGAGGGGTGGGGACATCCAGGGACTCTGAGCTGGGCTTTGGGCCTTGCAGTCTCCTGCCCCTCTGAGGAGCTAGGGCTGGACACGAGCCCCAGACTTTTGTGTGAGGTTCCAGGAAAGGGAGGAGTGCCCCTTCCCCCCCCCCCCCAGTTCAGAGAGTCTGTTTTTTTTTAGATATGTTTTTATTTATTTCAGAGAGAGGGAGAAACATCAATGATGAGTCATTGATCTGCTGCCTCCTGCTCGCCCCCTGCTGGGGATCGAGGAGCCCGAAACCCGGGCATGTGCCCTGACTGGGAATCGAACTGAGACCTCCTGGATCCTAGGTTGATGCTCAACCACTGAGCCACGCCGGCCGGGCCAGAGAGTCTGTTTTGTTCTCATTTCCCCCAATTTGGTGTATTTTTTTTTTTTTTGACAATAAATGGTGCTGTGACCCCCTCCTCCATGCCAGCCCTCCTGTGTCCTGCTCTGCACTGTGTTCTATCTACCAACCGGCTCTTCTATGGGAGCAAAGTGTGACATCGAAGGACCAGCTCTGCAAAGTGACCCATCAGCTGTCTCACACACACACACGCACACACATACACACACATGCATACATACACACGCTCCATCCGGCCCACCTGTACCCTTGTAAAATTAAAGCACAACAGGTATTCCTGTCCCAGCCTCTCTGAACACGTAGGGTTCGCCCCAGTTTGGGGTTCTGCAATCAAAACACGTCCCCAGGGCCACCATTCATTTCTAAGGGCCCCCTTCAGTAGCCCCTAGACCACGGTTGCCTTATTTAGAAAAAAGGGAAAAGAAATATCTGAACTCTTCCAATGTCTTTATTATTATAATTATCATAATCTTCAATTTTCAAAAATATAAATAGGTGCACGG